GGGAGGGTCTCATCTAGGAATGAGTTTGCTAGTGAAATGAGTTCCAGCGAGTCAGTTTGAAGGAGCTGGTTTTCCTCACGACACAAAAGAAGCGTGCCTACAGGCTACCAGATTCTGAGCTGCCATTCTGTGCTGGTCAAAGGCTATTTGATTCATTCCCTGATCCTGTTATGCAAAGCAAGGCCTCCCATTGATCAAATGGAGAAATGTACTAGAAAAGGACGTCTTAGCAGAATTAGTCAAACTTGGAAAGTTTTCCAGGTGCTTGCAGAGTCAGTATGTCGTTTAGCGGCCATGGAGTATGTTCCAAAATCGATCGGCCACACGCTGCTCACATACAAACACCTTCATTGTTTCTGTGCGTTCTTACTGATTCTGATGGAATCAGACTGTCAAATAAGAAATGGGAGAAATTTCACGACCTTGGGTAGTTTCTCGAAAGACATTCAAAATTCGCCTTAGTCCTTGTGTTTTGCAATTCATTTGATGAATACCATGAAAAAAATATCCGAAAAAGAACCTGTCTTAGTCCGTGGCACCAACCAGTAAGCAAAGGGAATGGGGATTTCCTCGAACGTTCGATTTTTTGCTAATCAGAGCTGAGGATGTATGGAAATAACACAATAATAGTGAAATTCGTGGTCTTGTTGAACGCGAATTGGGGGCGAGATGGCCCAAGTGGTCAGAGCGCGGATTTACTGACCGGAAGGTCCATGGTTCAAACCTGACCTCTGCCTCTCGACTTCCCCTGTCTAGGTTTGGGCAACCTGGGAGTATCCCAGGCCTCATGCTTCCTTCAGGTGGCATTGCAGCTAGGCACCGATAGGCTGTTACAGCTGAAAGCCTTTCCTCACGGAGTAAGTTGATGGACACCAGGCTACTAGCTGTTCAACTGTAAAATACAAACTAAGGTTAAATATTTGTAACGTTTTTATCATTAATGGAAAGACAGACTGAAGAAGGAGACAGCTGCGCGTTAAGACGGTGGGCTGAAAGTATTCCTTGGAAAAGGAGATGTTGAACTGATATGGGCGACAAATCAACAGTAGGCTATGGGGAGATATCACGTGACTGCTCTCGCTTTAAGATTCGAAGGGGAACCAAAATGTCACATCAGACATTGGCGGATAGATTGAGCGCATGGATAAGTTTCATTGTATTCACATACGCAAAAGATTGCAAAGAAGCAAGCACGACAAAGGAAATCCAGACAGAGATGAATGTTTCGAGGGCATGGGTATGAGTCACGTGACGAACGGAGTGAACACCTTTCATACTCATGAGTGTATGGTTACCATTGGTCGTTACCCAAGAGACGACATGTGATACTTAAAATATAAGAATAATTATAGTAATCATCTAGCTGTGGCACTTTTCCGATACCAAGCAACTCGAAGGAAGCCCGACATCTGAGGCTG